AGAATAAATTCCTTACATAGCTTTCTGCCTCCCTCAGAATAAGCATCCAAGAAACTGTGAGACTTTCTAATCTAGCCTTAGAAGTCACACACCATCATTACACTGTTTGTTATATGAAGCCAGCACTGTTTGAACACTGTTGGTTATATGGGGCTAATTCAGATGCAAGCACGAAGGGCATGCTAAGAGAAGACATAATTCATCGGGAGACCATTGGAAGGTCACCTACCACACTGTATTTTACAACGTTTTATGTACAGCCTGGGCAAGATGGTATCCAAAATAACATCAAAAGACTATGATAGGTTTAGAATGGTCAGCAGGGCAGGAATGATTTTTTTTAATATTGTGTAGACAAATGCAAATTTTCTAGTTAAGTTTTTCAGTCTGTAGATAACCCCAGTGTCTCTCCCTTCAGAGTATGTTCCCTTCTGCTACTCTTGGGAGTTTAATTGTGCATTTGGACCCAGGCCAAAGAATAAGAAAAGAGAGCGCCACACAAGAGAGCACCAACTGGATGAAAGTTTGGCCTCTTGAAAGGCAGACTTTCTCCATCAAGTACTAGAAATGCACAGTTTATCTTAGTATAATAATGGGCACAGTATATGTCTTCGAGTCTTCGACCTTGAAAGCACTTAAAGTCTAGCCTTTATTTTAAACACTCTGATCCCCTGCTCCGCTTTTGGGCTATCATGTGCTTCCACCATGATGTGGAAGGAGCTGCCTTTGAGCTGCAGGACCACAGACTAAATACCCTGAAACCATGAGCCCACTGAAACTTCTCCTCCTTCAGGTTGCCAGGTATTGTGTCTCTGGGAAAGCTGCCTACTAAACTATCTTTATTTGTATGATTTTACTATTTTGGACATTTTTATATAAACAAAATCATAAACTACAGCCTTTGGGGTCTGGCACTTTTCAAATTTATCATAACTTTTCAACTTTTGTCTATGTTCACCTATACTAGTACTGTACTTCATTCCTTTTTTTACAGTGAACAGTATCTCATTGTACAGACCCAATTCACTTCATTTATAATCCACCAATTCAACATTTGGATTATTTCTGTTAGGTCTGAGAGAAGGGGGAGGAGAGGAGAAGTCCGTGGGAGGAATGGAGCGGAGTGGACGGCCGTGAAAGTAGTGGTCAGCGGTGGCTTTATTCCGGGAATGCGGGGAGGGGGCCCCCGCCGCCGGCCCGGGCGCAGCATCTCTGCACCCGGGGCGGGTGGTCTCTCTCTCTCTGGCGAACTCTCTCTGGCGAACTCCCTCGGACACGTGGCGTGGGGGAATCTAAATAGCCTAAGCTTAGGGCAGCACCCTAATGCCATTAGAGATGCACAGGTATCTCATTGGCGCACAGGTCCTTAAGGATGGGGATATAGGGTTACAATCAAGTGCATAGGGGGCAGGGGGGGGAGGAATTTAGCTGCAGCCTTTTCTGGTTACAGTGTTCCATCTGGGCCGGCAACTCTTTCAATTTCCACTTTTGAGTGATTGAAAATATTCCTGCAGCAAATATTTGAGTGTTTTTGTGCAAACATGTTTTCAGTTCTCTTGGGGCTACGTGGGAGAATTGTCAAAATATTCTTCAGAGTAGCGGAACATTTAACTTTCCCACCAGCAATATATGAAGGAGCTCTGTTTTCTCACCAACACTTAATATTGTGATAGTGAATTTTTTTTCAACATCTAGTGATCAAATCCACTGGGCATCATGCAACTTAGGCAAGCACTGGATCCCCGAGCTGTACCCTCAGTCTGACTGATCAGAGCCATCCCAGTAGGTCTGAAGTATGGCAGGTGGTTTTGATTTGCAAAAAGACAAAAGATGTTGAGTACCTTTTTATGTGCTCATTGGCCACATGTTTATCTTGACAATATGTGTTCAAATTTTGTGGTCATTCTGTAACTGGGTTATCTATTTATTGTTCAACTGTAAGAGTGTCCTCATTAAGACATGACGGCTTCATATTGCCAGGCACCAATGCAGAAACATGGGCTCCGAAATTGCAAGATCACATTCATTGGTAAGGTGGTCATTCAAGAAATCCAGAATCAAAATTTGTATAAGAAGAGTTTGAAGAATACACATTTTAAGTATTTAATAGAGACCTCTACTGAGTATAGCTACAATTTAAAAACTGCTTTATGTCTGGACTAAGTTTCCACCAGTAGATAGAATTAAGAGAGCACTCTTTAAACAAGGGTAGTGGTATTTAACTAGTGTTTCAGATTTAAACATCAATATAAGTCATGATAGGAGGGCATAATTATATTTTTATTTTTAAAGAGAATCTTGTCTGATCATTATCAGAAAACTGTAAAATATCCATCATCATCAATATTTATGATCAAACACTGAAAGCCCCTTGCGTCAAGCTAGCTGTCTCTGTATCTTCTTGTTTACTTCAAATCTATGAAAAAAATCTGGAGCCCTGCTGAGGCTTTATCTGATCTGGTCTCTCTGAATATCTGGCAAGGTTTTCTTTCCTGCAGGACCCTCCAAAGATGGCCATCCTTACACAGGAGTTTTATTCATATGTTGATTCTTTTTTCCACAATGCTCCTAGATAACTTTGCCTTTCACCTCCAATCTCAGTTCACAGACCAATGCTTTATGTCTTGACTTTTTGCCCACTGGTATAAATTATTATGATTACAGTAAACAAGTTTAGAAGAATTCAAAGAGCAGAGACACACTGGGAGGGAAATAGTATTACCACCCTTTATGCACTAATGACAAAGCTGCCCGAATTCCTACAGGTATTTTATTTCCTATGCGTAGATTTAAGATGCACATTATTTTAAAGCTTCCTTGATCGACTTAAACAACTACAAACAATAAAATTCACTGCCAATGAGATACTGAATTCAAAAAGTAAAAGTACAACCATCTTTTTAATAGCAAATTTTAAATTGTTACAGGAATAAATATGGACATAATCAGAAATATAAAAATTTATCTTCATTTAACCCTTATTTAAGAATTATCCTACAGAATTATTCCCTTCCCTTAATACTCCAATGACTGTTGAAAGAGATGTAATGCTAATTAGAAAAGTAATCAGAAAATGCATTTTCCTAAACTTAGAGCTAAGAAAACTACCCTATGTCAATATTACGGACTATGCAGCTATCAAGAATTTTAAGACTCTAGATCCTATTGGTATATGGAAATACATTCATAAAACAAAGCTAATTACACAATACCCTTTTCGCGCATACATATATTCATATGCTTTAATACTTTGTTTTGTCTTTTTGAGACAGGGTCTCTTTATGCAGCTCAGGCTGGACTTGAGCTCACTTTTGTAGCCCAGGCTATTCTCAGATTTGCAACAGTCCTCTTGCCTCAGCCTCACAAGTGCTGGGATTACAGGCATGCACCACCACACCCAACTGCTTTAGTAGACTTTTAAATGTTTCTACATCAGTCTGTCTTCAAATAAAATCTATTTCAAATAGGTACATGTACGTTTAAGTCTGTTCAAGTGTATGATGAAAAATTAAAGTCTGCTGCCTCTATCATGCTTTATCCTTACTTTCCTCATATAAGTAAATACATGTGTGTAAATCTTGCCTGCATTTGTTTCTATCGAAGTCACTGTATCTATCTCCCGCCCCAGTATTCCTGGCACTCCAGCCTGAGCGCCTGGCAGCAGCTCAATAAGCATGGCGGGGGGCGGGGGGGGGGGACGACCAGTACTCAATTACTTTGGAAAGCCCCGTCCTTGAAGTTATCCTGTAGAATAACTTCAAAGAAAAGAAGTGTGTTAGCACCTCTAGGCCTCCAGAGATTCGTTTAGTAAATGACTGCTGCATGTCAGTGGAATAAATTACTACTTCAGGGAACTGAAGAGCGTTCTCTGGGCACACCTCCTGACCTGCAAAAGTCTTGTGAATTCATTTTTATAGTGGGAAACTCCAAATGAAAAACAGTGGTAAAAATTACAGTTACCATGCAATGAACCAAAAAAATCCAGCTTCGCATCAACACCGGCAATCGTTTTCAGCACATTTAGTGCCTAGACTTTTCACAGAAGATGTTTATTTTAATAGTTCAAGTATGAAAAGCAGATACTCCTGAAAACTGCAAATTGTTGACTCATTGCTTTTCTCTGAGGCTGTGATTCTACACACTACTTTATTTTAGGATAGCAGAGCTTATGTTAAGATAGCTTTCAAAAATATTTAAAATGCATGGTTTACCTATATGTTTCACACAACAATTTAGTGGTATTAGGAGCTTAGAAAATGGTAGGTTTTTAAAATAATCCATTGTGGAAGTTACATAAAGTTATTGTTTTTTAAAAATAATACAAGAAAGGTATATATTTTCATTAACTGCTAAGATTCATCAGTTTATTCCACTAGCCCTTCAGAAGTGCTACAGAAAGCAAAATGTTGATTCACTTGAGAGGGGTAATCTCAGCATTTGGGGGGCTGAGGCAAGAAGGATCACTGAATTGAGGCCAACTTGGGCTAAAAAGTTGAAGCCAGCCTGAGCTACATAGTGAGCCTGAACAGCATAGGGAGACCCTGTCTCAAAACAAGCAAAACAAAAAAGAAAAAAGAAAAAGGAAAGAATTTGTGATTCAAGGAAAACAACAAAAATTCATATAAAAATCAATTATTCTTTCCAGGCAACAAAATGGAAAGTATTTTATCAGCTGGCAATGTCCGTTTGATACATCACTGAAAGCTTATCTTTGCTCAACTTTAAAACTTAGTATGTCACTGCAGAAGAGGGGTACATTTCAAGCCCAATAAGGATATATTTCCAAATAGTCCTTTCCAAGTTCCTCTGTGTAGACAACAAAATAAATGGGAAACACAGGGCTCAGATGTCCACTCAAGTCCCTCTTCTTTTACTTTTTCTTCGTTAATAAATCACCAGGAGAGATAATTTAAAACTTTATTTGTTAAAATAGGAATTTATTAACATCTAAAAAATATTGGCCCCAAATTTGAGAATTTTTAATACAGAGTTTAAATATAATGACCTATGTCTCCTACAAGGACCATACAGGATATCTGTCTACTTGGTGGTGTGCAGGGAGAACTCTTCACAGAATACCCGAGCCTCAGAGACTCCCTGAACACCCCAAGGCCACCGAATCCTTGGCGTCAGGCAGTTTCCGCGGGATCTCGGGGCTCCTGATTGCAGGCCTAACATCCCCACCCCACCCCACCCCACCCCCGGGAACTTTCTCCGCACCAGAGAGCGAAGGTCGGATCCAGACCGGCTCAGAGCTCGGTGGGCCTGGAAGACCTTCCTGTGTGGGGCGCTTTCAAGGTGATTCAGAACAAGGGATCCCCAGGACAGACACTGGAGGAGGGAGCGCGGAAACGAACGCAGCAGTTTCCCAGCGGATCGACGAGAACCTAGAGCGCGGAGGTGGGGACTGTGGGGGGCGTGGGGCGCGCGGCGACTCCGAAGGTGCGGGGCGCGCAGTGAGCTCGCAGACCTGTGCGCGTCAGCAGGACCCTGGGGCAAGGGGGCGCAGGGATCCGGGGGGAGAGGGGAAAACGCCGCGGGGAAGGGGAATGGGGACAGAGGGCTCGGCACTAGGGACTAGAGTGGGGAGCCGGAGGTGGGGGCAAACCTGCGGGGCCGCCCGGGCTCCCGCGCCGCGCGCCCTCCCGACCCCACTCCGCGCCCGCGCCCCGTGGCGTCACCGCGCCCGGCCCGCGCCTCCATCTTCCTCCTCCTCTTCCTCCTCCTGCTTCTCCAGCGCGGCGCTATCCGGCTCTGCCGGGCGGGGAAGCAGCCCCAGAGCGGCCGCGGCCGTCGCGCCAGGCCCAGGAGCTGTGCGGTTGGGAGCCAGGCGCTGGGGCGCGGAGGTGAGCGTGCGGACACGGAAGGGGGCGGCGCCGCGCGGGGTCCGCGGGGTCCTTCCCGAGAGGGGGCGTCGGCGCCTCCTGGTCGTCCCTGCTCCTCTGGCCTTGCTGGAGCTGCGGGCCAGCCGGAGGGCGGCCCGGGGAAGGCGGGCCGGGAGAGGGAGGCCGGGCGGCAGCCTCCGCCTCTCGGGTCTCCCGCGCGGAGGCGAAGCGAGGAGAGGCGGTGCGTGCGGCGCCGGCCCGCGCGCTGCTGCGGAGCAGGTATTCTAGCTGTCCCCGGCTACCAGCCGTGGCGTCGCCGTCGCCGTGTGCAGGCCACACTGGCGGGCAGGAGCCTGACTCCTCCGCGAGCGTCCTGTGTTCACCTCAGCCACAACTTGTTGAAAATTATGCCCTCAAAATCTCGCTCTGAAAATAGAGCAGAGGGAGAAAGAGAATTTTTCTGCAGAAATTTCTACTTAGGATCCCCCCATCCTGTGGGGGAAGGATTAGTGTCAGCTTTTACTCCTCGAGCAGGTAGTTTTTTTTTTAAAATGGAAAAACTTACTCCAGGCCGCGGTAAATTATCATTCACCCCTGTAGGAGAAAAGAATCCAGACTGCCTGTCCCTCCCCTCCCTCGGGGAGACACATTTCCAGACCAATTTTCAAACCCCCTGCTTGGAACCTTTGTCCTTCTCTTGCTGTCCCATCTCCTTTCTCTTCCTTTTTGTTTCTTGATTTTGTTAATCTCCGGGATGTTTTTTTCATTCTGTATTGCTGTTTTTTTCTGTTTGTCTCTGTCTCTTGTGTCTGTTTCTCTGTTTCCCGTCCTCCTTTCTGTGTTCATTTAAAACTTACAGAGGATATCTGAAGAAGAAAAAGCATCTATTCTAGATGTTTAGAATCCTAAGAGCGAGTCGCCAGGCTGGCTTGGGGACTGCTGCAGTTGCTGCGTATTAGCGTCAGCCTGTGAAGGTGGGGGCTTGTGACCATAGCAGCAATGGTCCATGAGCGATTGTGGAGGAGGAAAATGAAAAGCTTTGTCCAGGTCCCTTGACACAATATTGATGCCATGGAAAAATGTGCGTTTGCGGAAGATTGTATTTTAATGCTGCAGAATAGTACAGAAGAGGACAAATTTTTAAAGAAAAGATTGTAAATTTTATTTTTAAAAAGTGAGAAGAAGCACCAAAGATTTGAAAGGCTAGGCCTTTGGGTTGATAAAGGATATAGTCAGGACCTCAGCCTGTAACTGTGTCAATGAGTCGCAACCAAGGCAGACATACCAGAGACATTGATGTATCTCTTGTTTTCTCTGGACTTAGATATCTTGACCATCAAAAAAAAAGCTCTGGCTGAGAAACCTATTACATCGCATTTATCTTGACATTTTTGATGGATTCAGTGGCACTATTTATTGCATGCCTAGTTAATATGTGTCACATAGTGTACAGTTAGTAATGGACACGACAGACAAGGATCTGCCCGCAGGGGCTTATTGTCTGCCCCTCAAGGGGCTTATTTAGTAAGCAGAAAATAAGTCATCACATAAAATAATTTCAAAGGAAATTTAACAGAGGCTGAAAGGAAAAGTGGGGAAAACTGAAGTGAATCATTTTGGTGCAGTCAGAAAAGCATATGCAGAGATTTCAACATGGGAAAGTGATTGATCCTGTCTACCCCTACAAAAATGATGGGGCCAAGGAGTACGGAAGCAAGAATACAGGAGGATGATAGGGCGATGAGGAGAGCCTAGCACATCTAGGACCTTGTAATCATGATCAGGAAGTTGGCTGTGTTTTGAGGAGACACTGGTTTTAAGGAGGGAGAGAGATATTTAATAATGATTCTATTTACAGCGAACTTAGGCTATGGACAGTGGTTTGGAAAAGGGCAAAGGGAACAAGAGGTTGACCTTTTAGAAAACACTGGCAAGCTGGGTAAGGCTGTGCATGCCTGTGTTCCCAGCTACTTGAGAGGCTGAGGAAGGAAGACTGAGCTCAGGAGTTTGAGACCAGCCTGGACAATTTGGCAAGACACTATCTCAGAAACACGAAGTTGGCATCGCTCAGGTGAAAAATGATGAATGCCTGGACTAGGCTGGTGTCATTTTGCAGACTAGGTGTTGGCATTGAATTTGTTGTCAAGGACACAGGGAAGCAAGGACTATGGAATGGTTCTCAGGTGTCTGACTCGATCTGGGTGGGTAACGGTAAGAATAATTCTGGGGTGAAAGGGGCAGGTCTGAGTAGAGAAGGAGTTTGGTTTTGAATCTGTTAAGTTTGTCATTGATCAATGATAAACCATAGCCCTTGGGATAGTCTCCAGGGCAGAGACGCATGGAGGAGCCTTCAGTAAGTAAAGCTGGTGATTGTGAATTTAAGGTGAAATTTATCAGCTCATCTGTCTAAATCTTTGGCAGTCTTCACCAACTTGGGTGTAGATACAAAGAAAATGGATAGCTGATTTCTTCCAGAATTAAAATTTTGCCAAGTGGCTAGATTGGAGAGTAAGAGAGTTGAGGCTCTTTTTCAAAGAAGTGACTCATATTTGCTGTAAAATTCAGGTTGCATTTAAAGAGAAACCAGGAGTAGATGGCTGGGAGAGGGGAAAAGTAATGTAAGGTCCACAGATCAGTTGCTGTCTGGATTTATCAGTTTGAATATTTAAGATTGTTGGAAGGCAAAGCGCGCTTAACTGGTATCAGGAAGTGAAAGACTGAAGTGGAGTGGAGGCCAGCATTCACTGCTTTTGATGAATAAGTCAAGGAAACCAGGGCCCCTGAGAGAGCAATGACATTTGCTGGGGGTACAAACAAGGACAGTGTGTATCCTGTGGGTCCTTAGTGATGAGGAGTAAGCTGAAAATCAATAGATAAGACTGTGGTGGGATGCAAGAGAGGACATTATGATGCCAGGAGCCTCGAACGAGCTGGCTGTTTGAAGGAGAGACAAAGGAGACTCAGATAGCTTACAAAAGATGCAGCTGCCCCATCCCGTGGACCTGGATTACATTTTCTGGATAACCTGTGCAAACCTGCAGGGTGTGAATATCATCAGAATCTCTGAGGACAGCTCCCACTTACTGCTGTCCAATACAGTAATTAATGCCCTAGATATTTCTACCCAAAACAAATTAGGCCACATTTTTCAAAATTAACTTTGCGCCACCATTGCTCTTCAGCTAGAGGTATATCAAAGAATCCTTCTAATCTGAAACCCTTAGGAGGCAGGGTATATTAGAATGCTTCTTCCTGGATAATCAACACTCAAATATTAAATACATACAGAAAGTCAAATGTCCAGTCAATAAAACTGTGACCTTGAAATTTCAAGGAACTCACATTAATTGAAATGCTTTTAGATAGAGTTCCTATAATTGAAGTGCTAAATATAAAGTGGAGCTGTTGAATTATATAGCTAGAAGCAAAAGAATTGTGGTGTTAGGACTATGGAGCCCAGTACAGCCTCTTTATTTTCTTTAAGGAAACAGATGAAAGAAGGTGATTTCAGAAGCCTACTCCTGTCCTTTCACCTCAACACCACAAAACAAAACTTTCCATAAATGGCATAGTTTTATCAGCTATTTAATGTAGATTATCTGTGAATAACATCGAATAAAAATATAGGTGAACCTGAGCTTTAAAGTGCGGCACATCAGTCAGCACCTCATGTGTCACCTAGGCTCTATGAGAAATGCATAATTTAGCCTCAGCCCAGACCTGGGCCATTCCTGATTGTGCATTATAACTAGATCACCACCAGGCCACCATAGTTGCAGTAGAGTCTGACCAGTCCTGTCATAGAGCCAGTTGGTCCCCTTGCAAACTGGTCTGCTGAAGTCAGCAGGACCATGAGGCCTGGAGAACTGAGGAGCTCCTTTTAGGAGAAAGAAAGAGACGTCATCATCAGAACATTCTGAATTTTCATTGATACGAAGCAACAGGAACAAAGTGTGCTGTGCGGGGAGATGGCACATTTCAGGAATGGCATTATTGCCCCTCCCAGAAAGTGAAGAGGCAAAATTGCAGCAGAGCGCATGACACTTCGGATACTGCCTGTGCCTGGGCAGCATGCTCCTCAGCTTCCTGTGTTCAAGGGAAGCTGTTGTGACTGCACTAGGATTATGTTTTACTGTTGCAAATGATAAAAATGGACACAGAGTCAAAAATCTGCATCTGTTGTCTCCAAATAGCAAAATAAGTAGTAGGTTGAATCTAAAATCTTTTAGCAGTGCTATTTTCAGTTTTGAGTATATACTCATCATACCTGATCATCTCTAAAAAATCCTGATGTCCAGCTAGGACCCCAGATTAGTTACCTGAAAACAGGGATGACAGGACAGTGACATGACCAGTGTCTTCAGCACTCCATTGGGTTCCCAGGGAAGGCAACTCACATGTGGCCCTTGTAAGAAGAGGCAGCCCTGAGGGTGTAGTTCTGCCTTTAACCCTACCCTAGCAGTGGGACCCTCCATGAGCACTGTGGCACAAAGCTGAGGTAACAAAGTTCTGGTCACAACGCAGGGCAGTAGGGTTTTCAGAACACTGAGAGAGTAGGACTTTTTTTTTTGAAGAGGAGTTTACCTGTAGCCAATTTTGTTAAAGTTGTTATTAACTGTTAGTGAACTGTTGAGAAAATTGGTTACATAACTGTAACTAAAAGTCATTATTTTGCATATGTAAAATGGCTGAAGTTTTATGTATAAAGTACACTTCAATAAAGTTTTCTTTTAAAGTTGCTACATATGCTTCAGCCTTCATAATTTTGTCATGCTGACTTGATAGCCAGGGTTAGGGAAGTCAGTGCCTGTTTTATGTCATTAAGGCATCAGCACCTAGCCAAACGCCTGGTGCATAGAGCTGAGTAAGATATTGGATGGGTGAAAGGAGATGAATAGGTAGAGGTAGGGAGGCAGGGAAGGACAGATGGATGGATAGATGGATAGATGGATGTATGGATGGGTATCATTACCATCTTTGGTGGTAGACAGAGATGGAAGTAAACCTGGTGGCACTCAGTG